CATGTAATTGAGTACCACTTTGCTTGCCTTGACGTTTTCAACTGTTTATAAATCATCTGTTATGTGAGCTAGCAAAATGTCTGCACATGTTAAGTTGCTCTTATGATGTTCAAATGATATATGTAAGCTTGGAATTGGAAGTGTACAAAACTCATCTGTGATCTCTCTCTCTCTTAAGAACTCTTTTTTATTCGTGTTCTATATACAAGTGTTCTATATATAAGCGAGTCCCCCGTTGCTTGGTGTTGTTTCTAAGTGTGTATAAATAATTTGTTTAACGAGCTAGTAAAATGTTCAGAGATGTTAATTAGCTCACGTAAAATACACATGATGATTATATTCCTAAGATTGGTAATAGGAAGTTGCAAACATCAACTGTTAATTTGCATGCAATATCTTGGAGATGTTAATTAGCTAGTAAAATGTTTGGATATGTTAATTAGCTCACGTAAAATCCACATGATGATTATATTCCTAAGATTTGTATAGGAAGTTTGCAAGCATCAACTGTTAATTTGCATGAAATATATTGCCTTGTCTTGAGATTGAAACTGTAAAAATAATTCTAGAGAGCTTGAAAGATCCCTCTCACTCTCATTATATATAATGAAGATTTTATCCATGTTCTTTTGCACACTTTATACTTATTGCTTTTGTGCTATATATGGAAGTTGTTGAGTGGAGGGAAAGGACAAGGAAGGGGAGGGAAGGGAAAGAGGGGAAGTTACCTCTATCTGGAATCTTTCAAGCTAGGGTTGGTCGGGTCATTTTTCTCATCTCTTCCCTGCCCTTTCTTTACCTTATCCAAACATAACACTGTTTCTCTAGTATTGCCACAGGCGGAGTTCACTTGTATGATTGATCATTAACATAAGATGTATAAACTACAGGTCGAGGAAAGCTTGTCTGCCCTGTTTGTTTAGGAACCGGTTTGCCAAACAATAAAGGTCTCCTGAGGAGGCCCGATGCACGGAAACTGCTTGATAAGATGTATAACGGACGGCTAATTCCAAACTCTTAGAAGGTAAACTTTCTGCGTCATGCTTCTTGGTAAACTTTCTGCGTCATGCTTCTTGGTAAACTTTCTGTGTCTTCAATACTAATCTTCTGTTGCCGTTGTTCACTGTACTACATCCCTTTCAGACGTAAATTTGAGCAAAACTGAGGCCAGCCAGTGCTGCTTTTTGGCGCAATGATTGGGATGTTCTTCACCGGTTAACAAAGCCAGTGACTGCATTGGTAAATCAACTTGTAGCACAGAACATGTTGCTGAAGGTTTTTTGCTTCTATTTTTGGTCTAGATGCATTACAGAACTCTAACCATCATCGGCTTGATTATCAACCTTATAATTTACATGGTTCTGTAATAAAAATGTCCATGTCCATCGTCATGTTCGTGTGGACTGTATTGAGTTGCAAGACCCGTATATTATGTAAACATCGAGCAAATACTTCCAGCAAGAGTAGCTATTTAGGTTCCTATTCAGCTCCCAAGTAAATCTGTAAATGTTTATGCAAATAGTGTACACTTAAGGTAATAAGTTCTTAAAGACCTTAAATATTATGACTC